ATTAATTAAGATACGACAGACAATATCTTTACAAAAATATTCACTTTCTTTTCATTCAGGTTCATAAAATATATTTTAATTTAATTAAGTATTAATATTAATATTATCCTAAATTGCCAAGTAGCTTTATAATAATTTGTCACTTGGCTTAATCACGATGCAAATTTTATTCATTTATATATATATATAATACGCACACACATATTCTCTTGGAATTTGGTTTATAAATATTTCGATTTTTCGAGAAGTTAACAATATTGCAAAAATCAATGTCAAATTAGGAAAAAGCACGTAGGCTTCAAAAAAAATCTTTCTTTGTTACCCTTTCAAATATATATTTCTTGCAAATAACCCTTTTAAATGCCTAAAATTTAAGCGGCAAAGTAGTTTTAAATAGGATTTACAATATCCCGTAACTTTAGGCATTTATTAGTCCAATTAAAAATGAAGATTTTCCAAATCTTTGAATGTGATATAAAATTAATACATTATATTTTCTTCTTATCCTTTTAACTTTATCCTAAGTCTTTCCTAAATTCTTATTTATTTTGTCTTACTTTGTTATGTATCTTATTCTTAAGACGCCGCTTTATTTTATATTTTAACTCACTCCAAAGAATAAATAGTCATATATTATTTCCATTTACGTCTTTTTATATTTTTTATTTTGTTTCTATTATATCTTTTTAATTAATTTTTCACCTCCATATTTCTAGCTAATATATAAGAAAATCTATGAGTGGATCAATATATAGATATAAAATATAAATATAAATATAGATACTAATATACATATAAATATAAATATAGATATATAGATTAAATTTGTCTAAGATCTATTTAGATTATGTATAAGATTAATTCAACTACTTCCATTAATTATGTTTCCATTTATAATTTCTAATTATTAATGTTGTCTTATATAATATAGATACTATCCTCCTTTTAATATAATATAGATTTTTATTTTGTTTCTATTATAGCTTTTTAATTAATTTTTCACCTTCATATTTCTAGTTAATATATAAGAAACTCTAAGAGTAGATCAATATATAGATATAAAATATAAATATAGATGTAGATACTAATATACATATACATATAAATATAGATATATAGATTAAATTTGGCTTAGATCTATTTAGATTATGTATAAGATTAATTCAACTACTTCCATTAATTATGTTTCCATTTCTAATTTCTAATTATTAATGTTGTCTTTAAATTGCCAAGTGACTTCTTTTTAGTTTGCCACTTAGCTTAACCACAATGCGTAATATCCTCCTTTTAATGTAATATAGATATTTCTAGTTAATATATAAGAAAATCTAAGAGTGGATCAATATATAGATATAAAATATAAATATAGATGTAGATACTAATATACATATAAATATAAATATAGATATATAGATTAAATTTGTCTAAGATCTATTTAGATTATGTATAAGATTAATTCAACTACTTCCATTAATTATGTTTCCATTTATAATTTCTAATTATTAATGTTGTCTTTAAATTACCAAGTGACTTCTTTTTAGTTTGCCACTTAGCTTAACCACAATGCGTAATATCCTCCTTTTAATGTAATATAGATATTTCTAGTTAATATATAAGAAAATCTAAGAGTGGATCAATATATAGATATAAAATATAAATATAGATGTAGATACTAATATACATATAAATATAAATATAGATATATAGATTAAATTTGTCTAAGATCTATTTAGATTATGTATAAGATTAATTCAACTACTTCCATTAATTATGTTTCCATTTATAATTTCTAATTATTAAAGTTGTCTTTAAATTACCAAGTGGCTTCTTTTTAGCTTGCCACTTGGCTTAACCACAACGCATACTATCCTCCTTTTAAAATAATATAGATACTATCCTCCTTTTAATATAATATAGATATAGATTTTTATTTTGTTTCTATTATAGCTTTTTAATTAATTTTTTTACTTTCATATTTCTAGTTAATATAAGAAAATCTATGAGTGGATCAATATATAGATATAAAATATAAATATAGATGTAGATACTNTCATTTATATCTAATTATTAATGTTGTCTTTAAATTGCCAAGTGACTTATTTTTAGCTTGCCACTTGGCTTAACCACAATGCATACTATCCTCCTTTTAATATAATATAGATATAGATATCTCAATTGAATATATATATAGGCATGTAAAATTTATTGAATTTAAATTCAATAAATAATTTAGACTATATTTTAAATATACTAGTTCAATTATAGAAAATTTTACATCGTATAACAAATGTTGATACCTTATTTATTATAAATAAATATCCTTTTAAAAATTTATCTCTTATTGTCACACCTCCTTTTTTACACCCGAGGGGTATATAAGGGAGTTTTTCCAATTAAAGTGACATTATTCGAAATAGGATTATTTAAATTATCATAGTCGCCATTTGGGATAGTTTATTTGGTGTCCCAAGTCACCGATTTATTTTAAGATCCCAAATCGAGGAAATTTCGACTTTATTTTAAAAGCCTGCGAACCAGAAATTCTAAGTAAGGAATTTTGTTAACCCGGGAGAAAGTGTTAGGCATTCCCGGGTTCCGTGGTTCTAGCACCGTCGCTTAAACTATTTAATTGGTATATTATCTATTTACTACATGTTTTAAACCTGCGGTGCATTTTAAACTCTATAACCGCTTTTAATAATTACTGTTACATATTGCAATTCATGTCACGGGAACCGTACCCACGATCTACAACATGCTTAATTTTTAAAGATTAAATTGTGGCCGGGTCACATAAATGTACCCCCGGATTTTAGTAATTAAGCGTCACAACTATGTCACGGGAACCGTACCCGTAGCTATGGTAATTATTCAATTAACGCCTAAAGCAAACTTCGAAAGTTCAAGGCAATTTCTATACTAATTTTATATTTATGTGAGGGCCATAGATTGTAGAATTTTATTTATGTATGGCGCACTCCAAGTTATTTTCTAAAAGGATTAGCTCTTGATCTAATTTCGTGAGGGCCATGTATTATAAGTTTTAAGCATGACACACCTCAAATTGTTTTAAGAAAAAAAGGGGGTATATATTTTAAAGGAGGGGCAAAATTAAGGTGCTCCTATTTTTAATCTAATTGAAAATTAGTTATCACAACCATATCATGGGACCCGTATCCGTCGTTGTAATGAATTAATTACGCGCCTAAAGCAAGCTACGCTTAGAAACTTCCTTCTTTTTTGGAATTATATTTGGCGGAAATAAATTAGTAAGGGACAAACTGACCGATTAGCTTGTTCAGGCCAAATTAATGATTTGATGTCTCTTTTTAATTGCCAATTAAAAGTACACATTCCATTGACAATAGCCATCCTTGCTCTATTAAGCAAAACCAACCAGAAGAATCAATCAATAAAAAAACGTGACTTGAAGCATATGAACGTCCAAACCAATTTTTAAGGCAATGTGGGGTCAATTGGAACCCTTTATATCATCCATGATAATTAATCAACTAAACAAGCTATCAAGCTAGAACTTAGGGCCTAAAGTAAGAGATCACAGAAAAAAGATACAATGCCATAACCAGTAAAACGCTGTACCCTGAATGAATAACCATTAAAATTACTACTAACTTGATATTGCGGTTATATGAAAATATCAGCATGTGGAAGATAAATGACTTTAAACTAACATTCAATCTGACTTAGTTTTAACCAATTTCAGTCATCTTGTTAATCCTATGTGTGACACATTCTTTTGTCAAACACTAAGATGCATTTTAACAGTGATATGTAAGCCTAAAAAATAATCACCATGTTCTCTTGGATGGCAGGGCCGTATAAACAACAAAATAGCACAAAAGAAAATATTTAAACTACATCTATACATAAGTAAATCTACTGACATCATAACAACTCAATTACATATGACTTAACAAGGAGTAATTGTAATAGAAGACACACATTTCCAGATATCATGTTCACCATACATATATAGTCAATACATCAAAAAGGAAAGAAAGTTAACTCTAGAACAATTTTCTTCTGATGTAGTTATTGCTTTGCATTCTCTCACAGGTACATTTCAAGCTCAAAGAAAATCAGTGAAACTAACTACTCTAATTGTTCTCTGCTTTCCAGTTTTGTTTCATTATTCACCATTGATATTTTTTACTTCAGATGCAATCAAAAGAATCATGATTCACGACTTAAATATTTTTTCTTAACTACTTGCTAACATCAACAATATCTCTTAGATGGTCAATGTAGATATCAACTAAATACAAGCTGCTAGTGAAAGTTAGTGTATTTCATTAAAATTTGTGTGACACTCATGTTTTATAAAGCTGTTGGCTTATCCAGAATATACTCAACCTTAGCATTCAACCTTAGCATTCAACGTTTGGAAATTTTAACCAATTCAAGAACAGACATGAATTCTGTATGGTAAAGCAAAATAGATTTATACACCATTCACCAGTAAACACCAAGGCAACACATGTATAACCCGAATGAATCGCAGCACACAGAACGAATAGAATAAGGAAGATGTGTCCGGAGCCAAGAAAAACAAAAACAAAACTGCATCACAGGCTGGTTTCTCATGAACCAGCTCATAAACACTTCCAATCTAACAAAGTCTCAACCATCATCACATTTTTGATCGATACCAGAACAAATTAAGAAGGAGTGAAGATATGAACCTGAAATTAGAGCTTTCAATTAACGAAACTTCAGTGATTACAACAATCTAAGCTGACTCGAACAAAGCTGCAACTCAAAACTTGAAACGAACAGCAACAAGAAACAGAAATCGACGAACTTGAAGCAAATCAATACTGAAATTTTAAAACCCAAACTCGACTCCAACTTAAACTTTAATCAAGCTTCCTTTTGAGAACCAGAAATCAAGAGAAAGAATAAATGCTAAGAAATCTGTTTTAGTATGAAATAAACTTAGACCATTTGTGCTTTTTTGGGTGTTTTCTGAAGAGAAGCAGACTGAAAAGAAACGGCCTGAAAAAAGTGACAACTTCAAGAACCCTAGAAAATTTTACTCTCCTCAAATTTCAAAAATTTTTCTTAGATCTTTCTCTGATTTTTTCTCCTACCCCTTAAACAAGAAAACTCACCTTATATATAACCCTCAAAAATCTCGAAGCTTCTGCCCAAAAATTCGAAAAAATCCCCTCATTTTTGAACGATTTTAGGGACAAATAGAAAGCATGGATCGATTTACATCCATCCACAGCTCCCATTCATCCAGCAAATCGCTCTATAGTACACAAATCGTGCAAATTCGGGAATATTCTTCCTTCTCTGACAGAAAATCATTGGAATAAAGTAACGTGGAGAGGAGGGGGACCCATTTGAGTGAACTCGCCTGAGTTTTAGACGAGTTGAGGACTGAGTTTGACGAGGAAAATGATGAATAGTACAGTGGGGCGCCGTTTCTGTATCTAGGTTTAGGGTTTGTATTTTAGGGGAAATGTTATAAGAGGGATTTATACATGAAGGGAAAACGGGTGGGTCGGTGGAGCGGGTTTGGTCCGCTTCTTCTTGAGCTGGGGTGATAAAGGGGAGTATTTGGGCTGAGGGTTTAAGGGTGCAGCCCAAGTGTGCTAGACCCCCTTTAAATCATTTTTCCCTCTTTCTTTTATTATATTTTTAATCTCTTTTTTTAATTAACAGAAAAATTCCAAATTAATCTAAAAAGTGGAATTAAACTAGTTACCTAATTACAAAAATTATAAATATCACTTAATTCTACATTAAAAAGAAAATCAATAAATTAAAAATTTAAAGACAAAAAATGTAAAAATGAGCTATTTTTTGTGATTTTCCAAATTTTCATAAAACAAACAATCCTTGATTAATTCTAAAAAATGTAAAACAAATCCTAAGTGCAATGCATGATATTTTTTGTATTTTTCATAATTTAAATAAAAATTAAACATGCACAGAAATGCAAATAATTTAAAAAAATTCTACAAAAATTCCTAAAATGGCAAAATTAACAGAAAACCTATTTTCTTGGGATTTTATAGGAGTATTTCGTATAGGGCAAAAATCACATGCTCACAGCTGCCCCTCTTTGTTCGAAAACACGAAGGGTTTTCGGGCAAATACAAAATGAGCAATTATGAGGGATTTTTGCCCGTTCTGAAACTTCTTGGGAAGCATCTTTTGAAAGAGCCTGACCGAACCTTGCTTCAGAGGTTGCTACATATTTTTGGCTATAAAGGAATCAGGTCAGTATAGTTCTGGAAGTTTTAATAGCTGGGACTATCGGAAACTGTGATTTCACTGCTATTTCTGCTTGTTGAGCTCCTTATTACACCAAGATGAAAGATAAAAAGTTAAACTAGCTAAGCATATCAACTACGAGTTACAAGATTCCTATCTATAAACATTCTTTGCTTGATCTTGAGTCTTGGATGGTTCTTCCTCCATACTCTGACCTGAATCTTGATGCTCGTTAGCTGCAACCGCTGGTTCATTATTCTTTTCGGATCAAGGCGGGACATGCAAAACTTGTGACTTCAATCATATCTTGGGCAGTCCGTATCTTTTCCCCGCTGCTGCACTTAGAGTTTAATTTCTTTTCTTGTTCTTCCTTTCTTTTATTTGGGTTGAGACTTCTTCTTTTGGTCATCTTGAACCTTGTGCCTCACGGTGAAAACCTATTTAGGCACCAAAGCGAACAAACGAACAAAATTTACTGCCCCAGTTTTCACTAGGAAAATTTTGTGAGTTATTGTAACAAAATCTAAACTATTTCTTTATTGAAAGCGATAAAACCAGGATTGTGTATCCTTGGGAAAAAGAGATTAGGGAGTGGAGCCCTATATCTATGCTAAAAATCAACTAGGGGGTGGAGACCCTATGTTGGAAAAACGACTAGGGAGTGGAGACCCTATGTCTAAAATAAAGTCAACTAGGGAGTAGAGACCCTATGTTGGAAAAGCTACTAGGGAGTGAAGACCCTATGTCTAAAATAAACTCAACTAGGGAGTGGAGACCCTATGTTGCAAAGACCACTAGGGAGTGGCGACCCTATGTCTAAAATAAATTCAACTAGGGAGTGGATACCCTATGTTGGAAAAACGACTAGA